AACCAGGGCCGGGGGCGGGATTCTAGAGTTGCCAGCTCTGCTCCTCCACCGCCGCCACCGTGGTGATGGTGGTGGTGGTGGTCGTGGTCGCAGCGGCGGTGATGGTGGTGGTCGCAGTGGTGGTGGTGGCTGCCGGGACTGTCAGGGAGCAGGCTCGGGGCGGTCGCTGGCTGCTCCATCGCTGGGGAACGAGAAGATCGCACGCAGCGTGGGGAGAGAAACTCTTATAGTGTAGTAGATGATGATGAGAGAGAGACACGCAAACTCCAAGTATACAGCAGCAGGCGTCAGGGTCTGGATCGAACCCACGACTTCCTACGCACCAGGCGAGGTAGTCAACATCTGTGTAGCCGCCGCCGCTCACCGGGACGATTGCCGGGGCTCCGTCTGTTCCGCACGGTGCACACCAGCGCCAGCACCAGCACCAGCAGCGTCACCAGCAGCGTCGCCATGGCCACCAGCGAGCTGATGGAGGCGACACGGCCGCTGGCAAAGAGCGTCACCACGTCCCCCGTGGACACCCCACGCGAGGTGGATGGGGCGGTGGTGGTGGCGGTGGGGGTGGTGTGGGGTGGTGGTGGTGGGGGTGGTGGTGGGGTGGTGGTGGGGTGGGTGGTGGGGGGGGTGGGGTGGTGGGGTGGTGGTGGTGGGGTGGGGGGTGGGGTGGTGGTGGGGGGGGGGGTGGTGGTGGTGGGGTGGTGGCGGTGGTGGTGGGGGTGGTGGTGGGGGTGGTGGTGGTGGTGGGGGTGGTGGTGGTGGGGGTGGTGGTGGTGGGGGTGGTGGTGGCGGTGGTGGGGGGGTGGTGGTGGTGGTGGGGGTGGTGGTGGTGGGGGTTGTGGTGGTGGTGGTGGCGGCGGTGGTGGTGGCGGTGGTGGTGGTGGGGATGGTGGTGGGGGTGGTGGTGGTGGTGGCGGTGGTGGGGGGGTGGTGGTGGGGTGGTGGCGGTGGTGGTGGCGGGGGTGGTGGTGGTGGCAGCGGTGGTGGGGGGGTGGTGGTGGTGGGCAGCGGTGGTGGGGGTGTGGTGGGGGTGGTGGTGGTGGTGGTGGCGGGGGTGGTGGCTACGAGATTGGGGACACACGAGGAGATACGGGGAGACATGGGGAGACAGAGTCACGGGGGAAACAGACAGAGACACAGTGAGACAGATACAGGCAGAGAGACACAGACAGAGACACAGTGAGACAGATACAGGCAGAGAGACAGATACACAGACAGAGACACAGACAGAGACACAGAGAGACACAGACAGAGACACAGACAGAGTGGGATGCTGAGCAGTGTTGTTGGATGAGGAGCGGTGGTGCAGCGGTTAGCGCTACACTGCGCTATGAACCCAGCGTCCCAGGTTCGATTCCCGCTCACGGCCAACACCGGTGACGATTATCTAAACCGTTCCGGGCCTCCCCTAGGTCGCCTCAGCCTCAAAATGAGTACCTGGTGCGGCGTATAAACATCGCCACTGGGGAGACAAAGGCGGCCGGGCGTGGTGCTGGCCACCCACCCCCTCGTGTAAAGTTCTGACCTTCATAGGTGCTCGCTAACAGCACTTGCCCCAACAGTCTGTTAATGGCTACACGGGGGATATTTGTCTGTGTGTGTCTGTGTGTGTGTCTGTGTGTACCTGTCTGTGTGTTGTGTTCAACACCGCTTGCCAGGCACGATGAGGAGAGGCTTGCGGAGCCCCAATGCGGTTTCAGGAAAGGGCGGTCCTGCCACAGATGCCATATTTGCTGTCCGTCTGCTACAGCAGAGGTGTAGGGAATTCCAACAAGACCTACATCTCTGCTTTATTGACCTGGTCAAGGCCTATGATACCATCAGTAGGACTGGGCTCTGGGCAGTTTTTTCGTGCTTTCGGAGTCCTGACCCTCTGCTCACGATCATTAAGGACCTTCATGATGGTGAGCGGGCCCGGATAAAACTACGTGGCCGGGAGTCAGAGCCTTTCCCTGTACACCTTGGGGTGCGACAGGGATGTCCTCTGGCTCCCACATTATTAACATTTATTTTAACCACATAGTTCGTGAAGCCTTCAATAGCTGTACCAGAGGAATTTCCATCTGTTACAGATACAATGGGAGGCTGATCGATGCCCGGGTGCGGTCAAGGGATGGCTCCCTATCGCTCAACCATGTTGCGTATGCTGATGATTTGGTAATAGCTGCTCATTCAGAAGAGGAGTTGGAGACGCTGCTGCTGAGACTGGAGCGTGCCACTAAGAGGTGGGGCCTTACCATCAGCCCCACCAAAACTAAGCACCTGCCTGGGTATTTTGTACCATTGGACACTCCACCCCCACAACTCCCAATTGGTGATTGAGGAGTTGTGGAGAGAGTGGAAAGTTTCCCATACCTGGGCAGTGTGCTCATGACTGGCTGAGGTCTCACTCCGAATCAGTCGAGCGGCATTACCTTTTCATCGGTTACATAATACTGTGTGGAAGCTACCTGGTTTGTCACTCCGCACGAATCTTCAGGTCTTCTCGGCCACGGTCATTCCCTCCCTTCTCTACGCATGCGAAAAGTGGACCCCCCTAATGGAACATATTCGCCGGTTAGAAACATTTAGGCTGGCCTGTCTACGATCCATCCTGGGTTTAACCTGCAGGCTGGATTGTGTGAGGAGCTCACAAATCCCAGAAAGATCTGGGCAAAGTCCCATTGGTGAGCTCCTCCGGCAGGCAAGGCTGCGTTGGCTGGGCCATGTAGCCTGCATGCCCAGCCACCGCATGTCTGAACAGCTTTTGTTCAGCCGGATAGAGAGGGCTAAATGGGTGCGCCACTCACCCACCCACTCACCCACTCAATCACTCAACTACTTACCAAATCACTCGCTCACCCACCCACTCACCCACCCACCCACTCACCCACCCACTCACTCACCCACCCACCCACTCACCCACTCAATCACTCACGCACCAACTCACTCAACCACCCACTCAGTCAACTACTCACCCACCCACTAAACCACCCACTCACTCAACTACTTACCAAATCACTCGCTCACCACCCCACTCACCCACCCACTCACCCACCCACCCACTCACTCACCCACCCACCTACTCACCCACCCACTCACTCACGCACCCACTCACTCAACCACCCACTCAGTCAACTACTCACCCACCCACTAACCCACCCACTCACTCAACTACTTACCAAATCACTCGCTCACCCACCCACTCACTCACCCACTCACTCACTCACCCACCCACCCACTCACCCACTCACCCACCCACTCACTCACTCACTCACTCACCCACCCACCCACCCACCTACTCACCCACCCACTCACCCACCCACTCACTCACTCATTCACCACCCACCCACCAACTCACTCACCCACCAACCCACTCACTCACTCACCCACTCATTCACCCACTCTCTCACCCACCAACTAACTCACCACCCACTCACTCACCCACCCACCCACTCACTCACCATCCCACTCACTCACCCACTCACCCACCCACCCACTCACCCACCCACCCACTCACCCACGGCGCTGTGTGGTGGAGGGACGGAGACACACGACAGTGGAGACCACTCCCCTGTCTTCCACCGCGGGTAGCGAGCCGCGACTCTCACGCGGACGCAGTACTCAGCAGCGCCTGCAGGCTGAGGCAGCGCGTGGCGGTAGCGACATCCCACAAAGCGCTCCTGGCAGGAGCAAGCAGATGGTCTCAGTGTGCCGGGTTACGTGGATGACACGTTGGTGGTCTGGCCACACGGCAAAGATAGACTGAGCGCGTTTCTAAATCATCTCAACTCGCAAAACCCATCCATCCAGTTCAGCATGGAAGTGGAAGCTGACAGAACTCAACCATTTCTGGACATTCAGTAGCAGCAGCAGCAATAGCATCGTCAATCAGTAGTAGTAGCATCACCACCCACCCACTCACCCACTCACTCTCCCACCCACCCGCCCACCCACTCACCCACCCCACCCACCCACCTCACCAACCCACCCACCCACCCACTCACCAACCCACCCCTCACCCACTCACCCACCCACCACCCACTCACTCACTCATCCACCCACTCACCCACTCACCCACTCACTCACCCACCCACTCACCAACCCACCCACTCATCCACCCACCACTCACCCACCCACCACCCACTCACCCACCCACTCATCCACCCACCCACACACCCCCTCACCCACCCCACTCACCCACCCACCCACTCACCCACCCACTCACCACCCACTCACCCCACCAACTCACCACCCACCCACCCCACTCACCCACCCACCCACCCACCCACTCACACACACACACACCCACCCACCCACTCACCCACCCACACACCCACTCACCCACTCACCCAACCACACACCACTCACCCACCACACCCACCCACCCACCCACTCACACACACACCCACCCACACACCCACTCACCCCACCCACACACCCACTCACCCACCCACTCACCCACCCACTCACCCACCCACTCACCCACCACCCACTCACCCACCCACCCACCCACTCACCCACCCACCCACCCACCACCACCCAACCCATCACCACCCACTCACCCACACACCCACCCACCCACCCACTCTCACCGTGCTAGTCACACCCCTCCTTGTGGAGACCTCGGCTTGTAAGATGGTACAGCACGTCACTCTGCGCCATCCTCCTCCTCCACTCGCTCCTCATGGAGACCCGCACGGACAGCTCCCACCGCTCTCCCTCGTCGCCACCGCCATCACCGTCATCGCCGCCCATCACCGTCATCGTCGTCGTCATTCTCGTAGCCATCTTTGTCGTCATGTTTGTAGTCCTCACGCTCACTACCACACTCCTCCTCCTCGTCACCACCCTCGTCACCACCTCCTCACCACCCTCCTCACCACCATCCTCACCACCCTCCTCACCACCTCCTCAACCACCCTCCTCCAGCGTCGCATCCTTGTGGAGCATCAAGGTGACAGTCGGAGCACTCAGCACGGCTGAGACACACACAGACACACAGACACACACACAGACACACACACAGACACACACAGACACAGACACACACACAGACACACACACACACAGAGACACTCACACACAGACACACACACAGAGACACTCACACACAGACACACACACACAGAGACACACACACAGACACACACACACACAGACACTCACACACAGAGACACACAGAGACACACACAGAGACACTCACACAGACACACACACAAACACACACATACACAGAGACACACACACAGACACACACAGGGACACACACACAGAGACACTCACACAAAGAGACACTCACACACAGAGAGACACACTCACACAGACACACACACACAGACACACAAAGACACTCACACAAAGAGACACTCACACACAGAGACACACACACAGACACACACACAAAGAGACACTCACACACAGACACACACACAGAGAGACACTCACACACAGACACACACACAGAGAGACACACTCACACAGACACACACACAGACACACACAGAGACACTCACACAAAGAGACACTCACACACAGAGACACACACACAGAGACACACACAGAGACACACACAGACAGAGACACACAGAGACACTCACACACAGACACACACACACAGAGACACACACACAGACACACACACAGAGACACACACGCACACAGAGACACTCACACACAGAGACACTCACACAGAGAAACTCACACAGAGACACAGAGAGTGAGGACACTCACACACAGACACAGAGACAAACACAGAGACACTCACACACAGAGACACTCACACACAGAGACACTCACACAGATAAACTCACACAGAGACACAGAGAGTGAGACACTCACACACAGACACAGAGACACACACAGAGACACTCACACACAGAGACACTCACACACAGAGACACTCACACAGAGAAACTCACACAGAGACACAGAGAGTGAGACACTCACACACAGACACAGAGACACACACAGAGACACTCACACACAGAGACACTCACACACAGAGACACTCACACAGAGAAACTCACACAGAGACACAGAGAGTGAGACACTCACACACAGACACAGAGACACACACAGAGACACTCACACACAGAGACACTCACACACAGAGACACTCACACAGAAACTCACACAGAGACACAGAGAGTGAGATACTCACACACAGACAAAGAGACACACACAGAGACACTCACACACAGAGACACTCACACACAGAGACACTCACACAGAGAAACTCACACAGAGACACAGAGAGTGAGACACTCACACACAGACACAGAGACACACACAGAGACACTCACACACAGAGACACTCACACACAGAGACACTCACACAGAGAAACTCACACAGAGACACAGAGAGTGAGACACTCACACACAGACACAGAGACACACACAGAGACATAGACAATGCCACTCACTTGTCTTCAAGGGTAACACCTCAACCACGACCCAGGGTGACGATGATGGTGGTGATGGTGGTGGTGATGATGGTGGTGATGGTGGTGATGGTGGTGTTGGTGGTGGTGATGAGACGGTGGATCTGACGCGAAGTGATAGCGGTCGCCAGGATGTCGCAAGCGCTGAGGAGACATCGCACCGTGTCTCTGTGGTGGCAGCGCAGACGGTCCGCCAGTGGGCTCGTGCATAGCTGCACAGACAGAGACACGGGGAGGAGGAGGTGGTGGTGAGGAGTGGGTGGGTGAGTGGGTGAGTGGGTGGGTGGGTGGGTGAGTGAGTGAGTGGGTGGGTGGGTGAGTGGGTGGGTGGGTGAGTGGGTGGGTGGGTGAGTGGGTGGGTGGGTGAGTGAGTGAGTGGGTGGGTGGGTGAGTGGGTGGGTGGGTGGTGTGAGTGAGTGAGTGAGTGGGTGGGTGGGTGGGTGAGTGGGTGGGTGGGTGAGTGAGTGGGTGGGTGAGTGAGTGAGTGAGTGAGTGAGTGGGTGGGGAGTGAGTGGGTGGGTGAGTGGGTGGTGGGGTGAGTGGATGGGTGGTTGAGTGAGTGGTTGAGCGAGTGGATGAGTGAGTGGATGGGTGAGCGAGTGGGTGAGTGGGTGAGCGAGTGGGTGAGTGAGTGAGTGAGCGAGTGGATGAGTGAGCGAGCATCTCACAGTTTGCTGTCCACCCTGTAGGTAACGTCCAGGAGCTTTGAGCTGCTGCTGGTGGCGACGTCCACTTCAGCGTCGTGGTCCCAGCGGAGTTGCGTCAGCAGGTCGCGAGACTCCACGCGGACATTCAGAGGGGGAGTCGCAGCTGGGGAGATGGGAAAACGGCACTCGGTGTGCGCTAACCACTGCACCACCGCTCCCCACACTGCGCTAACCACTGCCCCACCACTCCCCACACACAGTGCGCTAACCACTGCACCACCACTCCCCACACACACACATACAGTGTGCTAACCACTGCACCACCGCTCCCCACACACACACATACAGTGCGCTAACCACTGCACCACCGCTCCCAACACACACCACACACAGTGCGCTAACCACTGCACCACCACTCACACACACAGTGCGCTAACCACTGCACCACCACTCCCCACACACACACATACAGTGCGCTAACCACTGCACCACCGCTCCCCACACACACACAATACAGAGCACTAACCACTGCACCACTGCTCCCAACACACACACAGTGCGCTAACCACTGCACCACCACTCACACACACAGTGCACTAACCACTGCACCACCGCCCCCCACACACACACAGTGCGCTAACCACTGCACCACCGCTCCCCACACACACACACAGTGCGCTAACCACTGCACCACCACTCCACACACACACACAGTGCGCTAACCACTGCACCACCGCTCCCCACTCACACACACACAGTGCGCTAACCACTGCACCACCACTCCCACCCCCACACAGTGCGCTAACCACTGCACCACCGCTCCCCCCACACACACACACACAGTGCGCTAACCACTGCACCACCACTCCACACACACACACAGTGCGCTAACCACTGCACCACCGCTCCCCACTCACACACACACAGTGCGCTAACCACTGCACCACCGCTCCCCACACACACACACAGTGCGCTAACCACTGCACCACCGCTCCCCACACACACACACACACAGTGTGCTAACCACTGCACCACCGCTCCCCACACACTGTGCTAACCACTGCACCACCGCTCCCCACACTGCGCTAACCACTGCACCACCACTCCCCACACACACACAAAGTGCGCTAACCACTGCACCACCACTCCCCACACAAAGTGCGCTAACCACTGCACCACCACTCCCCACTCACAAACACAGTGCGCTAACCACTGCACCACCACTCCCCACACACACACAAAGTGCACTAACCACTGCACCACCGCTCCACACACACAAAGTGCGCTAACCACTGCACCACCGCTCCCCACACACACACACAGTGCACTAACCACTGCACCACCGCTCCCCCCCCCACACACACAGTGTGCTAACCACTGCCCCCACCGCTCCCCACACACACACAGTGCGCTAACCACTGCACCACCACTCCCCACACAAAGTGCGCTAACCACTGCACCACCACTCCCCACTCACACACACAGTGCGCTAACCACTGCACCACCACTCCCCACACAAAGTGCGCTAACCCAATGCACCACCACTCCCACTCACACACACACTGCGCTAACCACTGCACCACCGCTCCCCACACACACACACTTGCGCTAACCACTGTACCACTACTCCCCACACACACACACAGTGCGCTAACCACTGCACCACCGCTCCCCACACACACACACAGTGCGCTAACCACTGCACCACCACTCCCACCCCCACACACACAGTGCGCTAACCACTGTACCACCACTCCCCCC